CCCTGGAGGTGACCCACATGACATGGCAGACCTCTCCTGACCCGCCCGCTGCTCCCCTCAGCAGTGTACTTCGTCAGTCAGCCTGTTCTGCTCCCACGCTGTCTCTGGTGAATCCTCTTACCCTCCACATCTCTGGCCTGTACCCCAGTTCTGTATGAATAAATAAATCTTTTAAAAAAAAGAACAGTTAGCATTTCCAAGCACCTGGAAGAGGGTAATTTTTACAAATGAATTCTAATGATTCACCATTATTTTATAGAACTCTATACTTTGGGGTGTCTTGCTTAACTCTTTGGCATGTGTGTATGCTGCGTTCACCCACCACCAAACTTCCTAGGGCCATTACACTATCAACTTGACACTCTTTATCCACAGAGTAATCCAACCCCTCCACTTGTTCTCCAGTGACCACCATATTTTTCACAGTCTAATAAGACTTATTTTGCTCTGTTTTGCCAGTTTTTATTGATTTGATTATTTATATTTCATATGAATGAAACCCTGATAGTGAATTTTTCATTAAATGAATTAAATAAACCTTTTCAGTTTATATTCCTTGTATGTTTCCATTTTTATTGTAGGAAAAAAAAAGCCTGATGTTTTCTTATGCATTTAGACAATAAGAAGCTATTTACACTGAAATAAAGTATCCATAATCTTTCTTTTCTGTATTGCTTCTTTCAAAAAATTTGTCATGATGAATTTTGTGGAGAATTTGACTCTTCAATCACATACTTACCACCATGTAATACAATATAAACAACATACAAGTTAATTATACATCTAAATATTTTCTCTAAATTTTAGTCAGTAGCTAATTTTTAACATAAATATCTCCTGTATTACTTTTCTAATTTCTAAGAATAGTATAACATTATCTGCTGCTACCCATTAGCTCCAAGATGATCTCTAAAAAAGTGCTGTGTATGCCACTTGAAATTTAGTCTGCTATAATTGCTAACACTATTTTATTTATTTTTGGTTTTGAAACTGAGGTTTACTGAAGCCCTAGAGGTACAGAATGTGTACATTTTAACATTTTATTTGTTAATATAGCCCTTAAATATCTCAGGGACATGTGAGACAGACTTTATTTATGATATTATCTCTTGTGTCTTTCTTTCTTTCTTTTTTTTTTTTAAAGATTTATTTATTTATTCATACAGAACTGGAGTACAGGCCAGAGATGCGGAGGGTGAGAGGATTCACCAGAGGCAGAGCAGGGAGCAGAACAGGCAGATCGATGAAGTACACTGCTGAGGGGAGCAGCGGGCGGGTCAGGAGAGGTCTGCCACACCATGTGGTCACCTCCGGGGCAGGCAGGAATCGAACTCTTGTGGAAGTGGCTTTAGCTTCTCAGTGCTGTGCTTTAAAACCCACTGCGCCACTAGGGAGGGCCTCTTGTGTCTTTCTTTAACAGAAAAATTTTGACCTAGATTTTGAGTCCAGATGAAAAAGAATAGGGGGACTAAAGTTTGGTTTTGTCTTTGACATTTTATCAGGAGTTAAAAACCAGACATTTATGGACACTTAGTGCTACTACAGCTAATAATAAATTTGAAACTTTCCGGAAAAATATATGACTACAGTCTATTGTATGTAAAATATTTTACTTGACAATTTAAGTCATGATTACATAATAATATGGATAGTAATTGTATTTTATCAAATCTTTTACTTGAGAATAAAGTTCCTTGTAATATTAGTCTTGAAATTCATATTACGGGAGTACTTCCAATTGGTCACTGCAGTTATAGCGAAAGAATCCAAGAACTTCTTCTGATTTCGTTTAAGCTCAACCTTCCTTACACTAAAATATAATAATCTGTCAAGAGTACTAGTGTAACATTCTAGTATATAATCAGGTTAAGGTAGTAAGGAAGTCTGCAGATTCATAAGCTAATCTAACAGCCAAATGAATGTTGTCTATCAAGGAACAAAACCACCTCTAGATAGGCAAATGACAATTTTCTCCTCAATGGGTCAGCCCTAAAGAGGGCACATTTAGCCCTCTAAATAAGATATTCATGAGGTCAGTATATGTATTTAATCAGAACTGGCTTTCTACCATATATCATATACCTAGACAAAATTGAAATATTTACTCCCAAATGTTAGATTAGAATGGTCAGTTCTGAAACTCTGAAAGTTTTAACTTTAAATATTGAGATGGGGGGACCTCCCTGGTGGCTCAACGAGTTAAAGCACAGCACTAGGAAGCTAGTCGCCACCCCTTCAGCATGAGTTCGATCCCTGCTCCAGAGGTGATTCACATGGTGCAGCAGACCTCTCTTGTCTCTTCTGCTTCCTTCAGCAGTATATTTTGATGATCTGCCTGTCTGCTCCCCACTTTTTCTCTTGTGAATCCTCTCACAACCCCCCCACCTCTGGACTGTACCCCATTTCTGTATGCATAGATAATTAAATCTTTAAAAAAATATTGAGATGGGAGTAACTGTAACACAGTGACAAATTTAGGTGGATATTTTTAAAAGAAGGAGAGAAAACACAAATAAGTCCCAGTGTCAACTCACAGGTCTCTGCCATGGAGAACATCATCCTGCTCCTTGGCTTGGCGGCGACGCTGTCTGGCGGATGTGATGGAAGATGGTAATGTCCCAGATTCTGGGTCCTCTGAACTTTGGCCTCCAGACGTATTAACATCAAAAAGATGCTGTTCTACAGCTGACCGAATGGTTCTTTCCAAGAGTCTGGAACACAAAATCAAGCAAGCCATCTAATTTACTGTCTTAAAAAACATGTGTCCATAATTTAGAACTCTCAGAAATCCCAATGGAAGATCTACTATAGCTTCACAAACAAAGATGATTTATTAGGCATTCATCTCAAAATATCTGCATTGTGTGTTAAAATATACAAAACTAATAGAACAGTTTCCAATGACGTGGTAACTCTGTTCCTTATCCTTTTTGAAGCCAGGACTACTGAATGGTCATACCTAGTCCAGCAACTATGACAGGAAGCCCCACGGAAATAAGGGTCAGTTAATACAAGGTAAAATAAGGAGTTTTTTTTGTTTTCTTTATGGAGAAATAGTGGGCCTTTTCCTTCAAAGGTCAATTTCCTTTAGATTTTGTACAAGCACTTCTGAGAGAGAGACAGCATGTGTCACAATGCAAATTTGCACAATAGATGCATTCATCTATTTAGAACCCTTTTAACATAAAATTGCTGTGGAATTAATGCTGTTGAAAAAGTACACCTCATCAGAACATTTACTACTCATAACAGAGTGGTAAAATTTTTCTTAAAATTTAAAACTTAAATTTTAAATTTTAAAAATTGAAGTGGTTCCATGCAAGTGTCTGAATAAATGTTACTGAAGATGGAGAGATAGATTTTCTTTATTCAACTGTGCAGACTAGACATGTCCAGGGACTGAAAATAGTGCATGGTAAGATGGATATGCGATCCTTTTTAAAGCTTCATTATCTCTCAGTGTGTCTAAGCTTTTGTTGTTGCACTATTTAGTTCTGGATAAGTTGGCTTGGAATTCTAAACTTTTATTTCTCAAACATGTTTTCCTTTTCTTGAGAAAAATCATATTCCACCTTATCAAACTGTATATATTAATCATGTATTTTTTGCATATCATTTATACCTTAGTAAGGTTATCACCATTTCAAAAAAAAGAATCATGCACACATTTTAAAGTATTCAGGTGGAAATATATACTCAGTTAAATAAAATGGGTCTGAAAAATTAAGCTATTTAAGTATTCCAAATGTAATTTCATAATATATTCAGTAATTTCATTACATGTAAGACAACAAACAAGTATAACTAAAAATTTTTGTTTAAAGATTTATTTATTTATTCATATAGAGTTGGGGCACAGGCCAGAGATGCGGAGGGTGAGAGGCTTCACCAGAGACAAAGCAGGGAGCAGAACAGGCATCGATGAAGCACACTGCTGAGGGGAGCACCGGGTGGGTCAGGAGAGGTCTGCCACGCCATGTGGATCTCCTCCAGGGCAGGCAGGGATCGAACTCATGCTTCTCAGTGCTGTGCTTTAACCTGCTGCGCCACAGGGAGGGCCTAACTAAAATTTTTACATCTAGAACACATTCAATGAATCAAGATTACCATGTGAGTATATTACCATATATAGTGTGTGTATCTATTAGAGAGTGTGTGTGTATATTAGAGCGAGAGAGAGACCCATCCTACAGCTTGTCTATACTCATTAAAACATATAGAAAGTAAAGTATTTGGAAACAAATAGATAGGAACATGTGTAACAGGTATAATTCTGGAATCCTTTTAAAATTCAAAAAGCTCAGAGAGGTTAATCCTGCCCTCTGTTTCCTCATCTCATGTCACATCTTCCCTTCCTTCTTTACCTGATTCCTGTTGCTGGAAGATGCTCCAAAAAGGCCCACATATGTCACAGCAAGAAAGAAGGTAGGTAGATGTGATGGAAAATTTGGGGAAAGCAAGTTTCAAGCATATATATGTAGTGCCTACTGCATGCCAGGTATTTTTGTAGATACTAGTGATACAGCGATAAATATGATGGATAATGTTCCTGCGTCTATGAGACAAGATAATAAAAAAAACATGGAGTTTTAGATAGTGATAAATTTTGTGCAAAATGTGAAAAGTGTTGGAAAGTGACTATCTCTGTGGATAGTCAGAGATAGTGTCTCAGATGAAGTAACATTTGAACTAGGAAATGAACAGTAAGAAGATGTTGGCCATTGTAAGGATCAGGCTGTGCAAGGCTCCAAGGCGGGAATAAGCTTGGCCTTTTTCAGAAACAGAAGCTTGTGTGACTGAAGAATAATGAGCAATATAATCAGAGAGGCAGGCAAGGGCAGACAACTTAAGTTCTGACTTTAGTCGAATTACAACTGGTGGTGTTAGGAAGAAAAGGACATGTGATGGGTCCAATTAGTAGGACACAGCCAGTGACCTTTGGTAAAGACTTGTTACTAACACTAATTTGCTCTTCTTTCTGTGCCCCTGTGAGACTGTAAAGTTCACGCAGACAGAGCCTAAGGCTTATTTGACATTACATGCTTAACATTATGCTTGGCATATTGCAAGTATTAACTAAATATAGGCTGAGCAAAATTAAATGAAGAAGTAGGGACACAGATAACACTAAAATCTTAAATGGCATCCTTTGTCATAAGGTCCCTCCCAAAGCTCACAGATTGCTTTGCAAATATTAACTGACCCTGAAATAATTTTTACTGCAATTAAACAAAAAATCTCGTATGTTTGAATGGTTGGTTGAGTTGTCACTAGTCACACATGCTCATAGAAACTAAATATGAACACTTCTTGTTTGGGAATCTTCTCTGTATAGTTTTAAAAGTCATCATTTGTTTCCTTTTGTATCAATCTTCCAATACAGTCATTTGTTACGTAATGAAGGGATTATTTTCTGAGAAGTGTGCCCTGAGGCAACTTCATCTTAGTGCAGATGCTACTGAGTGTAACTCTGGTGCAGCCTAATGTAACATAATAAATGATAGCATAAGCAGGCTATTTGGTATAGCCAATGGCGGTCACTATCGCTGGTGTGATGTATGCTTGTATTTTACACCATTAAGAAAGCTTTCTATTTAATAAACAGGAAAGGAGGGGGGAACCCCACTCCAAACAACTTACTCTCCAGTTGCTGAAACATTGCTGACTTGGGATACGTGAGCACTGTGGGAAAGAAGCAAAGAGAAATGCAGATTAGATCAGAGACTGAACCTTGAGTCAGGCCTCACTCAGCTTGTGTGGTGCTTTATATCCACTGACATGTGATAACTTTCATAGGTTTCAACAATTAGTGATGGTCCTGGTTTATTCCTGAAAAGTGGCTTTTTCTCAATTTTAAAGATAATCAAGAGACTTCACAAGTGACAATGAAAACCATGTCTACTTGTTCAGCTGCTAAAGACTTCAAAGTCTTTGCATTTTCCCAAATATTAATGCGATTGCTGCTCCCTCCCACTACCAACTCTGCCCACTCCCTCTTTTGGCCTGGCATGGGCACCTACCCCACCACGCCCTGCTCCAGGTGAGCAGAGAAAAGCATTTTTCTAACCTGGTTCTGAATGTACAGAAAACAGAGGGACCAAAGAGGGTTGGACGTGAGGAACCAACACTGCTTTCAATTTCTAAACTATCTTTTCTAAATCACCTTTTCTACAAAAATTCCTCAAGATGAAAAACACTTCAAGTTCTAATAGCTTCACTGTATTACCCAAATTGGTCGAGCATTTGTAAATATCCCCTATTTTTTCTATTTTCTCTAAAGCCTACATTCTTTTGAAAATATTAAAAGGCAGTCAGCATGAAGTGGGATGATGAAAAAGTACAGAACACAATCTGACAGCAGCCCGTGGAGCCCCGCCCTCCTGCCTGTCCTCCGTGTTCACATAACCGCAGTGAGGCTGAGGCTGGCAGCTATTTTAACTCTGTTCAGAGCAGTACTTTTCCATGTTCTGCCGTTTAGTGCCTTGTCCACTTCTACATCAAGATCCAAAAGTAACTATACTTTAAAAAAAGTTACAAAAATCTTTAATGTATTTCAAACTATAGTTTTGCCTAATCTCATAGTTTTTTCTTCTTTGTAGAAGACACCTGAAGAAAATAAAAGCTGCTAATGACCAACACTAATGGTTGCCTTTAAACCACGCTAGAGATCCCCATCAATATATCAGTGCTATTTAATTTTCAACATATGAACATGTTGCTCTGGAATCATCTGCTGGAGTTTTTCTTCCAAGTATGGGTATATCTTATCTCTTGCAATTCAGACTCTAAGTGCCTCAGGGATTAAATGATATTTCTCATTTTCTTTCATCATTCCTTACCACTATCATCACCATCACACCTGGCATAAGACGGGTTATCTCAGAGGGGTCAACAGACACTTAGCCCTGAGAATCTCCTCTAGTTAAAGCTGCAGTAGTTTATCGTAGCCATGGACCAGTGCCAAATCACAGAAGAACCAATTAAAAGAAAGCCATTGTGCACAAGGCACACTCACGAGAATAATCACAATGAATGAATAATACACCCTAAATACATGGATGAATAACACAACCTAATACTTAGAGTGCTTATTATGTTTTAGATATTGTAGTAATTTTTAGAGTTTCTTATTTCCTGCTTACAGTAACTCTGTGATGTAGTTCTATTGTTTTTATTTTCCTATTTTCAGACTAACAGGCTAGAGAAGTTAAGTACTAGTCTATAGTCACAGTCAGGAAACGTATGAGCTGGGATTTAAACCATGGGAGATTTCACTCAGGGCCTTCCTGTTGACATAAGAATTAAGTTTCAGCACTATCACTGCTATCACCACCTGAGTTCAATCCCTGGCCAGGGATCTGACCCAGATGGCACAGCAGACCTCTCCTGTCTCGCCCACTGCTCCCCTCAGCAGTGTATGTCTATAAAATCCACCTGTTCTGCTCCATTCTGTTTCTGGCAAATCCTCTCACATCTCTGGCCTACACTCCAGTTCTTCTACATGAATAAATAAAAGCTTAAAAAAATAGAAAGGTTTAGTTCAGAATCTAAATTCTTAATCACTACACTAGATTTTCAGTCCATCACTTACTAGAATCAAAACTCACTAGAATCATCTTCGTATATGGAAGCCTGGACTTAGGTATTTTCTTTACTTTTTAATCACAACCATTTCTCTTCTGCCTCACAATGCCTGTTATTCATAGTGGTTCCCAGTTTACATAACCAACAATAAATCCTTTGCCTGTTTTCTGTCCTTAATTGGAACAGGCAGTCCCTGCTTTTGAAGCTTTGTGGCTCACCCTCTGTAAATTCAACACTGTGTAATTAACTCCTGTACTCCACTTCTCAATGCAGTTATACAACCTTGGGTTTGGACAGCAGGGGCTACCATGAATAATAACTTGGGAGGAACCTGGGAGGAACCTAGAAGAAGGAAAAGAATGTACATCTGCTAGATATTAAAAGCACGCTGAAGGTGTATAATGAGCTATTGCGTCTCCTAAGCCATCCCCCCCGCCCCAAAAGAGATATATTTCTTCATCTTCTGTCCACATGCCTGAACTTCTTTTTGCCTTTTAAAAGATCACCAGAAAGTGGGGGTGTGGGGAGACTTATACCTAAAATACTCACAATGATGTAAATTAATATAACTTCAATAAAAGATAAAATCCACTGTATGACGTAAAAAAGCAAAGGGTACTATGTAGTTGTCCTAAAAGCTAAAAAATCAAACTGATATTTTCATGTTTATCTTTTGGGTTTGTATGAGAAAAGTGAAAGAAAGGTGAGGAGGAAAGAGACAAGGAAATGGCAAAAAAACCCAACCCGATTGAGAGATTATTAATGTCAATAAATACTTGTTAAGCTCCAATGTGCATCAGAATTGTCTGGGATTTTTTTACACATGGATTCTAATTTATCAGGCCTACGTTTAGGGAAGGAGAAGCGAAGATTCGGCAAAGCTCCCAAACATGCCAGTGATTCTCAAGCTGTTTGCTGGTGGATGACAGTGGTCAGTGGGGTCTAAATATTTGCCACTAGAATTCTTTAAAGCTTCAATTACTGAGATATCACAATTTCTAAATTTTTAAATATTAAAAATATTTGCCACTAGAATTCTTTAAAGCTTCAATTACTGAGATATCACAATTTGGAATAATGAAGGTATAATTTGAGAAGTTATGCTAAACTGAGAGGAAAAAATGGCAAGACATCAACATTTCTATGGTTTAAAAAAAAAATGACCTGAGCCCCCTCAAGTCTTAAAAAGGCTTGTTCAGTTTGTAAAATAACTAAATAACTAAATAAATAATATAATAAAAAAGAAAGCTTATTAATTTTTAAATATAGTTATAGGTCAAATTTTTGATAAATTCAAACTTTTAGATTTTAATAGTTCCTTGGAATTTTTGGTTTACTTAACATATTTGTATGTTCATAGCATTTCCCTAAAGAAAGTATTCTGAGAAGAGAATATTTTCCCTGGGAATCAGAAAAGAGAAATTCTAGTGTTGGCTCTGTAGTTAGCTGAAATGATAGGCAGATTGTTGGTTAGCTGGGCTGTTTTTACTTGGTTTCCTCATACAGAAATAAAAGGTTTGGTTAGTGATCTCTGTGGCTTTCTTTTAGTTCTAAAAGTTGGTAACACTCAATCAGATTTCAATTTATTGCCCAAAGTTTAAATCATTACAAAAGGTAATAACTATATTTTTAGTATTATGACAGTGCCAGGCATATTTATAGTTTATTAGATACTAGAATTAGTGTACAAATACTGCCCCAGTTCTTTTAGAATATGCTTAACAATTCACCAACAACAAGATTTCTAAGAACATTTAATGACTGAACAAGAACTGCTTCTATAGCTATAACTGGCTCCTAGAGGTAATTTGAAAACACTGATGAAAAGATAATATGCAAATAAGCCAAAGTACAAGATTCACTTTATTCATAAATCTTTTTTAAAGTTTTATTTATTTATGGCCCTCCCTGGTGGCACAGCGGGTTAAAGTACAGCACTAAGAAGCTAAAGCCACTTCCGCATGAGTTCGATCCCCGCCTGCCCCGGAGGTGACCACATGGCGTGGCAGACCTCTCCTGGCCCGCCTGCTGCTCCCCTCAGCAGTGTACTTCCTCCATCTGCCTGTTCTGCTCCCCGCTCTTTCTCTGGTGAAGTCTTTCACCACCCTTGAGTCTCTGGCCTGTACCCCAGTTCTGTATGCACCAATAAATAAATCTTTAAAAAAAAAAAAGTTTTATTCATTTATGCATACCAGAACTGGGATACAGGCCAGAGGTTTGGGGGGTGAGAGATTTCATCAGAAACAGAGTGGGGAGCAGGACAGGCAGATCATTTTTTTTAAATCCTCTGTAATAGGCTGAGAATAATAAATTTTTCTCTAATTTGCTAAGAAAATGTCTTACACAGTATAAACACTTGGATATGAAAGAGTTATGTATGATGTTATTGACTTTGTTATCTCTGTTTTCTTTTTGTTCATATCATCAGATATATCCTAGATTTTTATTGTTAACTTTTCTGTGCCATTTATTTTAGGCATGGCTCTTTAGAGCAAAATACAATTTATGTAGTCATTTTTTAAAAAGTATTTTTAATTTTTGTTAAAGAATTTAATCCATTTTTATTTCCTGTCAGAGCTGAGATACTTGTTATAATTTTATGATTTTTGTTTTAGGTTCTCTAATTTGGGAGCTTTCCTTCCCTTTGATTTCTATCTCTAATCTTCTGAAAGAATTTGCAATATATAGGCACCCCATACACTGAGCTTTTAATGATTCCCTCTTCCAGCCATATATCTATAACTAGTAAAATGAAAACAATATCCAAACACAACAAAAACTGCTTTTATTATACTACTACCTTTGATGCAAGACAAGCAAGTTTATTGCTCTTTGCCCTATGTTAATGACTATAATTACTGTCTACTTAACAAGTTTTTTAAATTCACCAATTATCTGATATCTACTTCTTGAGATCTACTTCTATTGTTTTTTAATTGAGGCACCACTGATCTACAACACTGTATATGATTCAGCTATAGACCTCTAGCTATATTGTGCAACAGTGAACATAGAAGTGTATATCTCTCACAACTTTTCATATATATATTACCATACCACACTCAGCAACAAGGCGTCCATAGTCCTGCACGATGTAC